ACAAAATTTCGACCAGGGTCTTCGTTTTCTACACAATCCCCCCGGTGTGTAGAAAACGAAGACCCCCCTCAAAATCACTTGAAAACGGAGGGAAACTGCTTTTAACGACTTCTAGACACTAAAGGAGTATAAGAAACAACACGGCTCCTTACGATCCAAGTACTAGGAATGGAAGTGTTCTGGTGACCGTTTACAGTGATCACGTAGGATGTGTTTGTGGCAGGTATCGACATGACAACATATGTAAACACTCTATTGCTGTGGCTGCACGTCAATCCATTCTCTCCACCCACTTTAATTTCCTCAAGAAGAAATCAAAGAAAGGAAGCCGCACGGCCCTTGCAGAGTACGATGTCAACAAGAATACCGCAGGAAAGAAAGGGGCTAGAAATAAAAACTCATATAGGCCGGAAACATATTGTAGCAGTGGAGTAGAACCAAGTAATCAAGCAAGGCAGACATTCACTGAAATCCATCATAATGAAAATCAGTTTGTTTTGATGTTCCTGCCACAAGAAGCCAGGACGTGCAAATCATGCGAAATCGAGTTCTGTCAACGCAAGCAAGTCATCCCATTCAACATGGTGTTTGCCCACAAAGAACGCTGGTTGTATCCTGTTGATGGCGATTGGTCGAAAGCGAAAGCGTCAAAGAAGGAGACCAATCGCTTTTATCATACTGCAAAGAAATGCATCATTAAGAGATTCCCCTATTTCAATTGGGATTATGTTGAAATTCCGTCCCATGTCGCTGATTCTTTGAGTGAATCGCACAGGAAGTATCTCAGGAGCGAGTTTCAAGACGCTGTCGTATAAGACGTATAATTCAAACAGTCAGAACATTTTTTGTGAGTGGCCATAATGTAACTCCTTTCTTGTTTGAAATTTGAACTTCCACAGGCAAAGAAAAAGGTTTCACGAGAAATTATACTTTCTTCTAGGTATGAAAAAATATATCGCTGCGATCTGGAGCAGTGCCCTGAACGAAACTCTGGTTTCTCCGCATTTCCAATGCGGCGTTTATTCGAGGGAGCCTTTTACTTCGAAATCGTTTTTTAAAAATCATTGACAACAGTTAGTGTAAATCGTTTGTAAATATTATGTAATTTAAAGGTAAGCAGCGGCTTGAAGACTCGTATTTTTCAGATGAAAATGTTGACGTTTATAGAAACAAGGCTGGGCATTAAACCCATGACAACATTAAGATCTCCCGAGTGGCGTGATTATTTAATGTCAGAACAAATCCGAAATCCATATCTTACAATGTATGTAATATTTTCCTAATTAAATACATATTGACTTTTGTATGGAAAGTGTTTCTGTTTCATTTTAGTTTTACTTTGTAGAATTCATCATTATAATACTCATTAAACTCGTGGTACAGTCAACCCCGTTACTACATACACTTATAATTAGGAGACCATAGAAAGTGTCCGTAGTAAGCGGGTTAAATGAGGAGAAGATATAAGACCTTTCTTTTCCCTGGGACAACGCTCCCTTGCGCTTGCGGCACTCGTTGCAGTTTCTCACATTACCCCTGTGTGATGTTTAAAGACAGTATAACTCAAGAGCTCCGAATAGTCTAGAATTTTATTGGGGAAGCGTTTCTCTTCTGTGCAGGCATTTTCCGAAGGACACTGAAATAAGTGACTGGAGTGTGTGTGATTTTCATTAAGAGTCTGCAAGACAACAGGTACTTACATGGGTTACCGTTTTTTTCCGGTACAAAGTTATTATTGAGTGAAGTTGTAATATAATTTAACGTACAAAATACTTGGCTCAAAGAACAAAGAAAATTCACACAAAATGTGTTTTCTGGTTTACGCGCAAACTGGCCGTAATATAAACATCTCGGAAACGTTTTTTTCGTCAGTAACAAAGACGTGACTGCGAGCAGAGAATGAAGACTCGTATTTTTCAGGTAAAAAATGTTGACGCTGATAGAAACAAGGCTGAGCATGATTAACATGTCCAAGTGACATGGTTATTTAATGTAATGGAATGGGGCATTTTGATGGCGATCACGGAAGACATAACTTCGAACACTTTACAGCAAAGGATGATTCCGCAGAAAACTCGGTGAAGACCTTGATCGAAATTCTGTGTAATTGGAAATCGTCAGGAGCCGTGTTGTTTCCTACACTCCTTTAGTGTCTAGAACTAGTTAAAAACAGTTTCCAGCCGTTTCCAAGTGATTTTGGGGGGGGGGGTCTTCGTTTTCTACACACCGGGGGGATTGTGTAGAAAACGAAGACCCTGGTCGAAATTTTGTGTAATTGGAAATCGTTAGGAGCCGTGTTGTTTCTTATACTCCTTTAGTGTCTAGAAGTCGTTAAAAGCAGTTTCCCTCCGTTTCCAAGTGATTTTGAGGGGGGTCTTCGTTTTCTACACACCGGGGGGATTGTGTAGAAAACGAAGACCCTGGTCGAAATTTTGTATAATTGAAGATATTGTTGTTTCTTACACATCTAAGGTCGGGATACCCGTTTCTAGATATTTATAAGTGATTTTGAGGGGGTCTTTGTTTTTGGGTCTTAGGTCTTAGGTCTTCGTTTTCTACCCACCCACTTAATGGCTAGTCCTGCGGGCAATGGTGGGTTGTATTTCCCCTCAAACCGCCACCTTCCTTTGCACGAAGTACTTTTTTAAATCTCACAATTCAAATCAAACAAATGTTAAAATCGTTTTTCGGTCAGGACTGCGAAAAAAGTATTTGCTTTGCGCGACTTGCACACATTTCCCACGGTTCCAAGGTACACGACCCGATCACGTGCAAGTGAGATTTGCTCTCCTTTTTGGAAATTTGAGTGTTTTTACACATGGCACTTGAAACGCTGTTGGCTCGAAAATCGCGCGTGAATTGGGAGATTTTGACAAACCATTTCTTGTTTTGTTTTTGAGGAGGAAAGGAAGGGGAAAAGGGAATGGGGTATATAGTTTAGTAAATGTTCACGCTAAAGTGTTACCTGGCTTTTAAGTGATTGCTGAGTTCGCTTGGATTTTCAGCAATTAGAGCAATATATACGCAGCGATAGTTGCGGCAAGGATCGCTGAAGTAGACTTCAGTTCTATCTAAAGGCTAGTTTCTGTATGCTCTTCTACAATCACCGGACTTCATGCCAGTCTTCATCAGAGAATGGACATTTGGTACATTTGATTGCGTTCATGAGTCATGTGGTTTCTTGGTGTCGCTGACGATGCAATTACTCAATGACATACTACAGTACCACTTACTATTCGATATCTTGAGATGTTTTCAGTCGAAGAAAATTTTTCACGAGTTTAATGTCCGCCCTTGCCTGCATTAATTGTGTTTCTTTGTGTTGCTATCGTTGGTGATCTACTGTGTGGTGTAGTGGGTATTGTGTTGTATTGCAAGTCTTGCGTATTAACCATGCGGTAAAGTGTTTCATCTGATATGTACCTGAATGACACCAGAGTTGGATAAATGAATTCGGATGCGTGTCGCTGTTCTATTTGGGCATCTTTACCGAACAATCTTTCCTGTGTTCGATTGTCAACATGGTATAGAAGAATATCGTGGGTGGTTGGACGTGGTTTTAAGTTATCCCATAGCTCATCAAAATTGCCTGCTGAATTGTATTTTAGGATTTCGTCTCTTCCTTCTTGTTCTTTCTGGTACCCAAAACAAAGTTTAAGCAATTTATGATAATTTTTTTTCTATTTACAGTGTGTACATACATAAGTTGAGCTCACATTCTCCCAAGGAGAGTGGACAAGTTTAGACTAGAAATGATATTTAACATTTAGGAAGAATTATTTTTCAAAGTGTAAACTATTTTCCTGCTTAAAGCCTGCATGGCAGGGCGGCGAGACATACGCTGAAGTTTGGGCGTGTGTCTTCCTCAACTATGGTTCCTTGGGAGTTCTAGAAACTTGCTGTGCTGTAAAATATTTTTATACATTTTTAGTTTTCTTCATGTGTAATGTGTCGTATTAATATACAGGTTTTGCAAAGCTTGGATGTCTCCTTCACTTGTTGATACACTGTATACTTTGTTGGTTGCCGTTTCTGCTCGATAACCTCGCAAAAATCCAGCGATAAATCCGTTCTTGTGGTCCTCTTTCCATATACGTTTTTCTTTTACCCAAACGTATTTCACTAGGTTTACCTTTGTAGCTTACTGCATCCTTTATCGTTTCCGCTTGACACATACGGAGCAATCGTCCCCATAAAACGCGAACGTCATTTTCTAGCATTCCTGCGATTGCGCCGCCACTGCACTCATCTTAAACGTGACCTAAAGAAGCCACAGGCTCGGTTCTACAAAAGGTGATTGAGATTAACCAAGGGTGTGTTCACGGGTCGTCCGGTGAACACTCACTACCCCCTCTACCTTTTATATTAGCCGGATAGCGGTCAGCGTTTTCGTAGTTTTGTCCCGCGCGATAAAATTAGGGATGGGTAAAGTAATCTTTCGTGGTTGGGCTAGCAGCTCGTGGACTTCGGCCAGGAGCTTCCGCTTCATACTATCGTTGTGGATGTCGTCCACGCACGTTGAGGGTGGACCCGCAGATCTTGACCTCGGTCTTTGGCCCACAAGATAAATTCGACAATGTAGTTGGGGCTACCGTCCGCCGGATCCAGCTCATCGGTCATTTTCCCAAGAAATTCCCTGGAGGGTTTTCTTTACGCCTATTTTCCCTCCTGCTAAATTTTCCCCAGAACGAATCGGGGCCAGCTAACTGATGGATACCTTACAAAGCTACCGTCTTTCCATTCAGCCAGGTATTTACGTAGTCAAATAATTAACATAAGAGACTGTGCTCCTGTTGAAACACTGAAAATGGTAAGCCTCGTAGATTTTGAGGAGGCGGTACTCTTTTCTCACCGCTTTCTGCGATTCCGGCTTACACTACGTACCACGGATCAAACTGTCCTTTTAAGGGTACTTGCAGACCCACATGCGCTCTGACAACAGTTAAGAGAACTCTTTTTCCATACAGCTGCCACAGAGAGGAAGGGTGACTTTACAACCACAATGGTAAGAATCTACGAATTTCGTGGCTGTCTTTCGCGCAGTTGCCCCCGTTGTTTTAAAAGCAGTATGGAGAAAAAACCACCAGCCGTTGCCCATAGCACACCAAGCAAACTATACATGGATTCTGTATAGAAACAGGAGTACCTAAAGCAAGCAGGCTGGTGGGTCCTCTTTATCTGGCAGAGCGATTTTCATGTTTAGACCGGCCCTTGTGTTGCAAGCGATTTTAACCAGCCATGATTTCCACATACGCTCACGACACTCAACCAAAGCCATCCATGGCTTTTTATGAGGGTCGTGCCAACGCTGTGCTGTTGTGTGAGGAAGTAGAAGAAACCCTAAGCGAAGGAATCGGGTACGTCGACGGTACCTCCCTCTATCGCACCGTCCCCAAGTATCTTATCACTTAATCGGGCCACCCTAAGTGATCAACCTTCTACTAGCCTGCGTGCAGACGATTAGGAGTTAACCAGAGTTTAATTTCGTCTGCGCGCAGGCTACCTTCTACTGCTGTGGTGGTAGTTACCTTTCCAATGTGAGCAGCTGTGTAGAATAAGCAGAGCGCACGTGGGTCTGCGTGCACCCCTAAAAAGGATAGATTGATCCGTGGCACATGGCGCAACCTGGAGTTACAGGAAAGCAGTTTACAAAAGGTACCGCCTCCACCAAATCTGCGAGGTACACTATCTTCCTGATTCCTAAGAGAAGCGCTCTCTCTTTAAAGACTGTAACTACCTGGTTAAGGGAAAAGACAAAAGCTTCGTGATTGGCACACAACGCGGACGGAACCCGAATAACAGAGAAGGGATAGAC